TCTGATATAAAATTGATGAAATTTCGTTATCATTGATAAGATATGATAATAGTGGATAATTTTTATTATAATTTATAAGTAAACTTAAAGTAATAGTAATATCACTTAAGAATTTCTAATATAAAATTCATCAAATTCTGATATTATCATGGATGTGATAATAAGCAATAGATGATAGAGTGGAAAATTATTATTATAATTTATAAATAAACTTAATGTAGTAGTAATATCACCTAAGAATTTCTAATATAAAATTGATCAAATTCTGACATTATCATTGATAAGATATGATAATAAGTAGCAGATGACATAGTGGAAAATTTTTATTATAATTTATAAATAAACTTAATGTAATAATAATATTAATCAAAGTAATTAATATTTTCAAAAAGTGTTTAAGAATTTTTTATATTTTATTTTTAAAATTCAGCGAAATTTTTAAATTAGCCATAAATAATTTTCAGTGAATAATTTTTGAAGTATAAATAATTAATATCTTATTTCATATAAATTTTCGCAAACAAAACAATTTTTTAAATTTCTCTAAAAAAAGAAAAGAATTTTTTTCCCTAAAATCTATCCATTTCCTAAAATTTATCCATTCCAAAAATTTATCCATTTTCTTCACTTCTCTGTTATCGTCCATTCCAAAATGCTATATATCATCACTTTTACAAACAAATAAACCTCTAAATTCAACTATCTTTCTCATCCATCATTTTTACGAAAATGCAAAAAACTTTCGTCAATATACTAAATGCACTTTATATTGAATATTAAACATTTATAACATTTTCCGTTTTTGTTGTAAAAGTTTCGAATTTAAATACATTTAATTCATTCTTTCTTTAAGTTGCGATCAATAAAAGATTTTGCAACTTAATGGAAAGTCAATTTCACAAAGGGAAATTTGAAAATATATTGGTAAATTAAAAATTGAATGTTTAAATTATCTTAGCAGCTTAGTGATATGTAAAATGAGTTTTCACATCTTTAACTTTTACTATCTTATTTTTTGCATTGGATAAACTTTTTGGGAAGTTAGTCCATAAGCTAATCTATTTGTTTATTTATATTCGATCAGGTTATTTAGGCGATAATCCAGTTTATCCTGATTCATATTACTGACTGAAATACATGTAATTGCAATGGATAGCAATAAAGTTAATATATTTATTTATTAATTCGCGATAATGAATAATATACTTGTGATAATGAATCAAGATAAACCGGATATATTAATGATAATTCAATGATAAATATTAAAACGTGATAAAAATTTCAAATATTAAAATGAAATGAAAGTTTTTGAAATTATAATTATAAATAGCAATTGTATTTTATATAATCATATTTTGTGTAATCATATTTTTTAATCATATTTTGTAATCATGTATATATATATGTATATCATTAATAAAAGCAAAGCTGAACAATTTTTCTGCATGCCATATCATGCAGCAGATCATGCAGAAAAATGCCATATCATGTAGAAAAATTGTTGAGCTTTGGTTTTATGCCATATCATATCGAAAAGATTTCATTTTAATAACATTTTAAATTTACTTTTCTAAAGTTTTGTTTTGAATTCTCAAATTTCAAAAATTTGAAATCTATGATTATCAGATTGATAAACAATATCAGTTCTATGATCTTTTCTATTTTTTGCATTTTTTTCTTTTGATAAAGTATTATTATCATCTCCTAATTTCTTCATCATATTGCCTTTTTGTATGTTTCGCATTAAGTTAATCATTTAAAAATCAATTAGTCATTCAGTTAATCAGTTATTCAATTATTTGATCAATTGATCAATTAGTTCATCGATCAATCAAATAATTAAACATTAGTTAATCTGTTATAGACAAGTTGTCATTATGGACAGCTGTCGAAAATTATAATCGTATTTGGATTATAATTTTCGACAATTGTCCATAAGTTAATTTGATACAAATTGTATAACTAATCATTTTCTACTTCCTTTTTTTCAAAAAATTATCAATTTTAATTTTTAATAAATACTTTCCTTTTTCTTTTTGTTTTCAATTAATTAATTAATCAATCAATTCGGTAAATTAATTGATTAATTATTCCAGTATTGATATCAGTTATCATTCATTCACTCCGTTATATTCATCAAATTCACTAATCAGTACCATTTCATCCATCATATCTTTCTCGTTTCAGATGAAATTATTCAGATGAAAAATTCTAAAGCAAAATTTTGAAGAAGTTTTCATAGATCTCTTTCTCTCTTACACCACCGCATTCCTTCTTATCCATTTTAAGAATTTATCCTCTGTTATTACTCTCCACCTTTTGCACTGTTATGCTTGAGAAAATCCCAACAACGTAACACTTATCCCATCGTAGTCCAATTCCATCGATTTCCGATTCAGCACATTTAAAAAAGATTGCTGCCTTTTGGACGTTGGAAAATTTCGATTCACCATTTCCTTTCTTCTCTCTCTCTCTCTCACTCCCTTTCTTCCTCTACTTTTACTATATTTCCTTCCCTAATACAATCATCATCATCATCATGTTTATGACAAAGTATTCATAGTTTTCCAATTGCTAAATAACTCTGCTAATCTAGGCCTTATTAGGCCCTAACTCTTATCCACCATTTACTTTTTAGAAATCATTGCATTCCTATTATTTATGGATTAATTTTACGTTTTTCTCCTTTTTTTTTTCTCTCTCTTTCAATCCATACAATAAATATGAGCCAAATATTAGGAACAAAAATTAGGACAATCCCGAATTTCTTACGGAGAACAGAGGCATAATAAAATGCTTCAGGTCTGAGTAATAGTTATTCATTGTCCATTATTTTAGCCTATTTCTCAAAATTAAATTCCTTTAAAAAAATGGAAAATTTGAGAATTTGATCAAAACTATCGAAAGTTATTAGTTCATCATACTTATACATCATTTTGTAAACTATAAATTATTTAATTATCCGCAAAGTTTTCATTTTCTGTTCCTGAAATACTCATTCATCGATAAGGCATAAGCTATCGATTGTTCTTGTTCAATTTATTCAACACTACCATTGTTGGACTGACCGACTAATATATGATTATACTTTCTCGATTTGTTCAAAGTTTCCGAATCTAGATGACCTATCAGCACTCTCATACTATTAAATGTATAGTTCCGTAAAGCATCCGGTTAACTTCATTCACCTTCATTTATTTTAATGTTAACTATCCGATAGTTCAACAAAATTTGAAATAGAACCAGCCTGTTATCTCGAAATCTGCCGGAACGTAAACGGATATTGCCGTATTAGGATATGCGTAGGATATTGCCAGAAAGAATTGCAAAAATTCTCATTCAGAAATGATTGAAAGTAAAGAGATGATGGAATGAATAATTAGAGGAGAGAATAGAATGTGATACGGTTGTGAAAATGATACAACATTGGAGAGGAAGAAATTGAGAAAAACGCTGATGAGATTTGTTAGAGTGGCAAAGATATGGCAAAAGAGTGTGAGAGAATGAGAAGTGTCCAGTGTTAAGTGAATTCTAGCGTAACTCTAACTTCTTTCACTCATTCTTTCATTTCTTATTTTCATTTCCAATTTTTTCAATCGATAAAGATAGTTGGCATATTCAACAAAGATTCCCGAAAAGGATCAATAATTTTAATCCGATTTGATTAATCGATTAATTTCAGAATTAACCATTCCGGAATGAAATTGAGGAATTAAAAAATTCATAGCTGGTTCATGTCCGAGTTACGGTGAACTATGATACGAGCTACGGCAGATGTGGTACAGGTTACGGGTGAAGTGTAGTATGGGTTACGGATGGACATGGTATTGATTACGGCTGAGTATGGTACTGGTTACGGTTTGATACGGTGGGTTACTGGTACGTATGGTATGGATTATGGACAGATATGATGTGGGTTACGGGTAGATATGGTATAGGTTATAGGAAGATTCGATTGCGTTTGGTTTTCTTTTTTGATTTCCCATTCCTGTCTGCGATTTTCGATTTGTTTCTCGTTTAATTCATTAATTCCGTTATACGTACTTTCTTCGCTTTATTTAGATTTATTTACCTTTCTCATTAATTGTATTAGTAGTGAATTTGGTCTATTAGCCCCACTGTATGAAATGTGTTGTGGTTTTTGTGAAGTTACTAAGTAATTTCGAAATTTTCTAAAGGGAAAGATCAAAGCTGTTAGTTCGAATTTGCAGAGAACGATTCGCTCTTTTTTTTGTTTTATCCCCAGATCCGAAGCAACCTGCATGCTTCAGGAAGTGCGGCAACAAAAATTAGTAGCAAATCTGTTCCATGTTCGAGTGTTTTTAAATCACTCAATTCTTTATTTAGTCTTATTTACATACTTGCTTTAGGCCTCAATCCATTTCTGATATCATGTCTGCCTTATTTGGTAACTTCTTTTTCAATATTTAAAACTTATTCCTATTTCAGAAATTATGATAAGTGAAAAATTGATTTATGCTAGGCCAAAATGGTAGGCATGGTAAAAATCGTGTAAACGGATGCAAAATTAGGATTACTCAGATTTTGCATCGGTTTATATGATTTTTAAGCTATATGATATTCACATTATTTTCACGTCAAACAGTATTATTTATTTTTATATTGCTAACTAACTAATTTATTTGGTATGATGTTTAATCCATCTAAAAGTATTTAAATATTTGCATTGTTTTTTTGCGTTTCAAGCATTCTGCTTTGTTCCTTTAAATTATTAAGTTTTTGCTACGTCATGCTTTTCATAGATTTGTGCTTATAGCACACTACATTACTACACACTACTTATAGCACACTACATGATGCTGTTGAAATGAAATATTTTGTTTTGGTTGTTTTTAAATTGCTTTCATACGTCATCTCTGATTCTATTAATAATTACGTTATATATATATATATTTTTATGTTACTTATTTTTAGGTCATTGCAAACTTTGAGAATTTTCCCTTCATTATTTTTCACTTCATTATAATAATACAAGGAAGATGCAAACTATCGAGAAGGCATTACATCAACCAATGCCATTTACAACGGGTGGACAAACAATCACTGATCGACTTACGGCTGCAAAACATTCCTTAGCTGGTAGTCAGTTGGGTAAGACAATTTGTAAAGCTACAACTGAAGAATTAATGGCACCAAAAAGGAAACATCTGGACTGTAAGTTCTTTACATTATATTACATATGTGGGATTTAAATTAATTTGAAAGATTTGAATTCAGTAAAAAAGGAATTGGTTTCTACGCGAATTAGCCTAGATTTCAGGAGTGGAAATTTTTCTTTCCCTGAAAGATTTCTTTAGAGGGAGAATTAGTACTAAAAAACTGAAACTTGCGCAAGTTAATTAAATGGTCAGCTATTGCTTTTATGAATCTATCAGTATGAGGGCATGGATATTTGATCTTTTTGTGAAATATCACTTATTTCTTTTTCTGTTTATTTATTTATTACCACTTATTTATCTTGAAAAATTTACGATGTAATCGTTTCTTCAAATTCTGTGTTGAACGAGTGGTTTCGATATTTTCACATGGTTTTTTGGTGTACTGAAATGTGACAATATCCTACCTGTAGTAAAGTAATTGTTGTATGAAAGGAACAGATATTCCTCATCAATTTGAAATATAAAGGGTTAAAGAATTGTTAATTTCATTATAAAGAGAAAATGAATTATCGTTTGTTTTTTGCAGATTTATTACACTGTACGCAAGAGGCAAACGTTTCTATTCCATCAATGGCAAATTTGTTGATTGAACGAACCCAGAATCTCAATTGGACTGTTGTTTATAAGGCGCTTATCACAATTCATAACATAATGTGTTATGGAAATGAAGTAACTTCTTTTGTGGTTTCAATGGAAATTCAGTTGATTGTGTTAATGTTTCATGCATTTTTAGAAGCATTAAACTGGTTTTTTTTAGGAAATATCAGTTTTTAATTAATATGAAATACTTATAGTACGCCGGGTCATTTTGAGCCGTTTTTCAGCGATTTTCACAGTATCTCGCATCCTGTAATACGACGTTCAATCTAAGCAGTTTTTTGGATAGAAATTCCGCTCAAGGTAGGTATTGTTTTAGATGAGTGTATGTCGACTGCTGATATTCTAATCAGCGGAAATGGATAACATGGAATGGTATATGCTGATGAATAGCATGGAAAAAACCGTTCTGTAATTTTGTTTGATGTACGTCTTCTTACTATCAGTCGATTATGCTAATTATTCAACAAAATTTTATATTGATTTCATATTCCTGTTAAAAATTTTTGGCTCAGTTTCAATTTTGCAACTTCCATATGAACTTGGTTTGAATTTTCCATATGAAAATGTTCTGGTTTAAATTGATTTTTCTTTTTTATTCTCGTATCATGCAGTTTTATTGACAGTTATTCATAAATGTTACCTTATATTTCTTCTGCATAGTGCTCTTATCTTTCTTCCTGATTAAGCAAAACATTTCATATGGTGAATTTAAAGTTAAAGAACACGTCAGGTCATTCACCCATGGATTATATGCGTTCATCAACGAAACACTGGGCATCCCCGGATTCGGTTTTTGTTGGTAAATGAATCATCATAAATTCATCTTTTTTTTTGGACTGATACTATCTCTAATCTGATCATGCACGGGCAAACATATTTTTCGGGCACTTTTTTTTTCGAACTTTTTGTTTCAATACAATTTTACATAAAGCTTTGTAATATTTGTTAACATTTTAATACTTTTTCTTTTCTCATCTCGCTCTTCGCTGGGCATTGCTTTTTATCTTACATGTGACTTTTAAGTAATTTTGCATCATTTATTGAGAAAATAAAAGTTTCATTGTCGAGATTCTAATGGATTAAATGGGATGTATGGATAGCTGACATTAGAATTAGCTTAGGCTTGTATGTTTGGCGAACGTATTGCTATTGATAATTAGGGATTCGGAGCTGTAATCATGGTTAGAGAAAGGATCAATTTATAGAGCAAAGCAGAGGGTTAAGGTAGTGAAAGATACATTTTTAATTGTTTGTCTTTTAATTATGGGAAGTAGCATATAGTTGATATGGAAATTGAATTATCTGTCCATATTACTTGGACTATATCAGACACTGAATGGAACGGTTATATAAGGGAAAATGTTCCTTGTAATGAGTGATTTTAAAAAGGTCTGAACTTAATTAGTCCAGGGAAATTTTCATTTTAAAAGTCTGTTTTGAAAGCTTCATCCTTTTTCATTTGAAAGTAGTTTTTTAAGTCTCATTCAAGTTTAGAATATTCCAAAAGTTTTATTTTTCGTGAGCAAAGTTCAAAGGTTATACCTTAACAATCCGAGTTCTTTGGTGCAGCTAATTTGTTGTGTAGCCGTTTATAACTTCTAAACAGAAATCAAACTTCTGCTGCTTCAATTAAATTTCTGCTTATGTTATCTGAATAATGAGATGCAGTTACAGGATATGATATGTCACAACATGTTCGACGTTACGGAAAGTATATCAGTGAAAAAATCTACACATATCGGCTATGCGCTTTCGATTTTTGTAAAGTGAAACGTGGTCGTGAAGATGGCCTTCTGCGAACAATGAATGCAGATAAGGTATAATAATGTTTATATTGATATAAGTTGAACAGAATTGAAAGAATTCCAGTCGATTTGAATTGAATTGACCTGAGCTGAGATTAAATAAACGGAAATATAAATTAAAATTGCTAAGCTTTAGGTCTTTGAAAAATTTTTACCTAGTGTTTACATGCTCTTTTTATGAAATCGCGTTTTTGATGTTTCAGTTATTGAAAACATTGCCAATTTTGCAAAATCAGATCGATACTCTTCTCGAGTTTCAAGTAAATTTTCTTTTTTGAGGTTTTTTTCCTTTGGCTTGCTCTTAACAATAACAGTCTATTTTTCAGGACAGAATTTATTTCACATTGTTCATTCAGTGCAGTATAAGAATAAATCTTTTTATATAAATAATCGAAAGATCAGAGATTATACTATGTGCTAACTGAGAGCTTCTTTTTGATCTCTAAATTAGCACATAAAATAACTTTTTAATCTTTCGATATAATAAAATTATTACTGATATGGTATTACATGAATAATATTTAAATAGTAGTATGGCAAATGATATTGTGTGAATAAAGAAATTATTCTATGATTCTAAGATAATTTTTACTGTTAGATACTGTAGAAAATGTCGTTATTCATCGTTGCGGGTTACAAAAGAAAGGAAGGAAAAGTCCTTCAGCAGACTGAAACGTATACAACATATACTACTGAAACAGAAACATATACTATATGTCTTATTGATAATCATAACCACTGTGAAAATCAGTAAATATAAATATATCTAATACGGATCGACATGTAGGATGAAAATAACTAATAAACAAGCAAACAAAAATTTTCTTTATGCGCAGTATATGTACGACATATGTAAATATAATAAAAGGCGAAGAGAGTAAACGAAGACGGTGATTATTAATCATTTGATTTTCTTATATTTCTACTTGTTCACCTAATGACATGCTCACTTATTCTTAGTCATACATTTACTTATTCACCTATTGGGCTTCATAAAAGCTGACAAAGAGTAAGCATTAATGTGAAGTATCATAAATAGTACTATTTAAGCGGTTTTTGGTAATGTTATCAATTGCAAAAAAATTTACTTTTGTCAATTGAAATTGTTATGGTTAAAAATTTCGGTTAAATGTTTAACTTGATAAGAAAATTTTAATTTTAGGTAACTTCAGCGGAATTAAACAACGGTGTCATTAACTGTTCTTTCATTCTTCTCTTTCGTGATCTCATTCGCTTATTTGCATGTTACAATGATGGTATCATTAATTTGCTTGAAAAATATTTCGATATGAATAAGAAACAATGTCGTGAAGCATTGGACGCCTACAAATCATTTCTGGTGATATCAATGAGTTTTTTTTTGAAAATAATTTTCCAGAAAATTCGGGAAAGTCCAGGGATTGTTTTGAACGGCTTAAAAACTCCTAAACTAAGAAGTAATATAGGTACTTTGTTAATTTTTATTTAAGTGTGAATTTAGTGAATCGATCTTTTTTTCAATTGTTAGGCTGCTTTCAGTTTTCTTTAATTTTATAATTTTCTATTTAGAAACATTTTCAAATAACTGCTAAAACCACTGGAAAATTGTCTATTTGGTAAGAAATGATTGATACCTATCTGTTCGCTTTATCGTGATGCAGGAATAATAATAGCTAGTTACTTGTATGCTACAGCACATATGTTTTGGGCTCATAAGTTAGAAGAATAATTCTATTGGGTTACGCAACCCAATTTGTTGGCAACATAGCAAAGGACTTAGAATTAGTTTGAATAGATAACTATTAGCATTCCGATAAGTCAATGCATATTTCGTGTGCTTTCATCAGAAAATATGCTGCACTGAATGCTTCTACAATATTGGTATTTTTAATGCTAGCATTCGGAGGTATAATATTTCTTCGGAAATTACTTTCTTTTGAAAAAAGGATCGAAGTAATCGTAATTTGGAAATTTTTTTCAAAATATATGTATATAATTGCTATTTTTTAGCTAAGGTTGGATAAAGTGGCATGTTTCTTGAAAGTAGCCGAATCTGTGGGTATTGATCGTACTGAAATACCGGATTTAACGCGGGCACCAGCTTCGTTATTGGAAGCATTGGAAGCACACCTGGTTTATCTCGAAGGTGGCAGGGCGCCTTCTGCAGTTCATCATGTAAATTTTTCTTGTAGTTTCCCATTATTTCACAGTTCTTCGCTATTCGAATACTGTAGCCTAGAAGTTAGATTTGTCAAATAAGTTCGTCTGTTTGCAGTTTAAGATCTTATGAGAAAGTTTTAGCTCCAAAATCTATATTTACAAATTTTGTGCTTTAATTTTTTAGGAACAATTTACTGCAGCAATGGCACAATCAACACCATTATTTTCTTCCGCGCAAGCGGGAGTTATTGATGATTCGGCAAAACAAAAATATTTAGAGGAGGAAAAAGAAAGATTACGATTGTTTGAGGTTTGTTTCTCGACTCTTTCAGCAAGTCTTATTTTTCATAGTTTTTTGAATGAATTCTTACAAACGAGGCAGTCTAATCTTTCTAGTTGGTTAGGTTATCGCATCTATGTTTCTACTTTTAAAAAGTAAATTGACTAAAACTAATTAAGATCATTGAGAAGTATTCACTTTTTTTCGGTTCTCTGCAATCTAGAGTATTTGTTTATGTGTTGCTTTTGAAACTTATCGATTCTTATTTTACCTCTGTCGCCTAACTCGTGACAACTCTTTATCCATTATTCTGTTCAAATTTATTGTCTGTTTTCTCTAAAAAAATTTCTTTATTCAATTTTGTAGCTCATAATCGAAATCATTATATAGGGTTGGAGTTGTGATATAATCAGATTGTAATAGATCTGCTTCGGATTAGCCTCCTCTCGTTTTGTGAGATCTTATTTCTAACTAAGATATTATATTATGGAAGGACAGCAAAAATTTGAATTTAGGATGTTTCCTTCCCAAATCTATTGTAACCAAATCTGTTTTTTTTTGCAGGAGCAGCGAAAAAGGCAAGCAGCAGCAGGTTCATCGGGAATTGATGCAGCAGGACATTCGTTCAATCCATTCGCTGCAGGTCAGTCATCAGCTGGCACTGCAGATCGATCTGCGAAACCAAGTGATGATCTTCTAAGCCTCTTTGATCCTATGCCAGGAGCTGGTGGAATTACTGCACCTTCAGGTTATGGAGTTGGTGCTGCAGTTAATGCTACACAGCAACCAATGGCTTTGGATTCAACAAATCCATTCGCTCAAAATGTTTTCCAGCAACAACCAGCTATGGTTATATCGGCTAATCCTCCTGCTCCTGGTTTGTATTCAGGACGAATGTTTTTGAACTTTTTCTTTCATATGGCAAGCTATCTTCAGCGAAATCCTGCTTCCTGGGAAATTTCCCAGTTCATTAACAAATCCGTTGGGCATGCATAACTATTATAACTTCAGGTTTTGCGGCATATCCAAATATTAGCAGAACAAATGCATTTGGTGCCGATTTCACAACCGCTTTTAATGTTGGAGCAGTGGCTCCTGCGACTACTGAAACTAATGGTTTGTTTATTTTTTTTTTTAAGAAAAAGCCTTATCACATAATTATTACCATGAAATTTTGATCTTTGTTGTCTTTATGGTAAAAAAAAATATAAAAACGCTGACAGATATAAATACATAAGTACATATGTATGGCTCCGGATGATGTGCTCACCATTTTTTGTTCTATGTTTTTCCTGATATGTTTGTGCGTGCACAGTGCAAAATATAATCCGAGCTTTTGAATATTCAAAATCCTATGACATGAAGTGTTTTTAAATCATTAATTAAGCTCTGATAGTTTGGCGTGCACTGGAGAGCGACTTGTTGAACATTTAATTGCATATTTTCTTTTTTCTTCTTTATTGGTGATTGTTCTCATTTAATAGGAAGCTTTTCCGATACTTCGCTTAAATTTATTGAATTTTCTTGGCGTGCTTGCTATGGCAATAGTATTAGTAATTGTTATTGTCACTGTTATTTCAATTGCTATCATTTTTTATTGTTTCTGTTGCTGTTATTGGTAATGATGTCACTCTTGTTGTTAATTGTTGTTAGAAATGTTTTTGATGATAATTTCGATAACTTGGTATACTTTTCGACGCATAAGAGGTTTTTTCATTCAATTATTATGATTTCGTGCATTTGCTATTGCTCTTGTTGTTATTATTTAGTTTTCTTTATTTTTTGCACGATACTCCAACTACTTTTTACTTTTCTAGAATTTTTATAACTTATATGTATCCTAATTTTTTGCCGTAAGCTTCATTTGTGAAACAATCATCAATTGCTGCAGTTGGATTCAATCCATTTCTGACTAGTGTTACTGCGGATTCGTCTGCACAACCAGCACCTCCACAATGGCCTGTGGCGGCTGAAGAAACGGATAAACAATGGTCTGAAAAAGCCTCGCAAGATACAGTTCCGCCGCAGGCATGGACTTCTGCAGTTTCCGATGTGCAAAGTGATTCAGCTGCTCATTCTTCTTGGGGTAAAAACGGTGGTAGCAGTGAGAGTGATGAAGCAGTTGGAGCTACGGATACTGATATTAATAGTAATGTATCGCAACAACCGAGTGAAATGATCAATTCGGCTCTTCGGAATCCATTTAGTGCCATGCAACAAAATGCGCAAGGTAGGGTTTCTTTGAAGCATTGATTTAAACTATTTTATTGTACATTAAACAGTCACAGTTTCCGTTCTTACTTATTTTATGGTTTTTCTTTTTTCATTTCTAAATGATGAAGGCAAATTTGGATTTATTCATAATTTCTGCCTCCTACAGCGTTGTATGTTTGTTTTAGCACTGCATACAGCTGATGTTAGTGCTGCCGCGATAATACCGCAACAACCTGATATGCAAACATTTGGAGCACCGCCATCTGGTGCATCATCCGGTTTTTTATTTCTCTATAATCTCTTCTTTGATTTTGCGTCCTTATTGCTTTTTTTAATTTCTCATAAAAGCACTTATTTGAGGAGTGTAATTTGGGAATTTTATTTTCACTTTTTTAAAGCAAATGCATCACCAATTCATTTTGGAGTGACTATCCAAGCACCTCCGCCACCACCACCACCACCATCACAGCCAGCAGTGATTCCGAATCAAAACCTTACAATTTACGAACAAACTCCATTTTGTTAGACCTTTTATTATTCTTTGTTTTTTTTTTTTTTTTAAATACTAGTTATTTTTTACGCCACATGTTTATCGGAAATGATCGTAACATGTTTCATTTAAAAGGAATTAACAGTTCTGTGATATCGAGAAATCCTACATTTTCTCCACTCTTATTAGATTCCAATTTTTTAATCGTCTTTTAATTTTATGAAAAGGAGAAAGAGGAAATATATTTAAATTCACAATTAAAAACTGGAATTTAGGTTAAGTTTGATATATGATATTTTTAGTTATTTTTACATTTGCGGACTTGGTATTACTCACTAATAATATCCAAATCTATTTCTGCGTATATTGCTATTAGCTGAAATCTTGTAGTTACTGGAAGTTAGATAAAGATCTCAAATAGCTATTAATAAACAACTAATAAACAAATAGCTGAAACTGTTGGTATTTAAAATTTTTTTTTTCAAAGACTAACGCGGATTGTTTTTCTATATCTGGAAGTTAGATACACTCTCATGAGAAGAATGTAATGTAAATATGCAAACTATTCGTCATATCTCGAGCAGATTCTTTACGATATAATGTAATTAGTTATTTTTAGCCCGTATGGATGGTAGCTATACTTCATCACCCATTGTTCCACGCCTCTTTCATCAACAAGCAGCAACACCACATGCTGGTTTATCTTCTAGTCATTCATTTCATTTTATTTTCCATGAAACCTACTACTTTTTCATCGTGTTATGCATCTTTTATGCAAATGCATTGAATAATATTCAAAGGAGAAATAATTTTTCGAAACATTCTACCAGTTTTATTTGTGTTCTAATTTATTTGGTTGTTTTTTAGGAATACAAAATATATCTGGAGGTAATCATGTTATTTGCTTATTGTTGTAGTTAAGCACGCCGTCCGAATGACTCAAGATATTTTTCAACGCAGAATTTCCTTTATTTAGCAGCGAAGTTATAATCACACCCTGATCCTAGGATTTAAGAATCAATAAGGTATTTTTCATTACAAGAAAATAGTGAGGAGGGAAAGGAGTAGGGAGGAAAAATATAGTTGAAGATTAGCTGCAATATTGTACAGCCCATCAAAGATTCTGAATTGAGCTTTCGGGTTTCACTGCTGGAGCCATAGACCTAATGTTGAACTGCGGAATTAATGACGCACTGTTTCATATTCTTTTTTTTCTGTTTTTAGTGTTATTTCTGATTTTAAGTTGTATAATAATGTAGTCGTAGTTGTTGTGGTTGTCATTTCTTTTGCTGATATTACTGCTGTTGTTATTTTTGTTGTTGTGGTTGTTGCAGTTGTCTTGTTATTGTTGCTCTTCTTTGTTTTATAAACTTCAGAATGCTTTTGCACCAAATACTTAAGTTTTTATCTTGCAAACAAAGATGTTATTCGTCTGTGATAAGCAAAAAAATTTGATAGTTGTGATATTAGGAATCGATTAGTCATTAATTTTTAACATGAAAATATTAGAAAATTTATAGACAGATAAATTGTAAATAGTTAATTGTTTTGTTTGTATCAGTCATATTGCAATAAGAATTTGCAAGACATTTTATTTGGTGCAAGTGCATTTTAACTGTTCATATGTTCCCGATTTTTTAGTCAGATGAATTTTGCAAGTAATTCTTTTTTATTTCAAGATTCCTATTTTTTAAATTAATATTCTTCTAAGATTTATTCTAATATTTATTTTTCCGAAATCAAAAATTTATGAATTTCCTAGTCTATTGAACAATATTTTCATTCCAGGCACAACAAATTTAAACGCATACGGAGCACAACAATTGCCATCGGTACCGTGTGCTGCCACTACACAAGCTGGTAAATTCAATAGTGGTGATTTAGATAGTGCCCTATCATCGCTGGCCGATAATCTCTCGGTGAGCGGTAAAGGAGCAACTAATCATGGGTAAAAATTTTCACATTTGACTTTTACTTTTGTTTGAATTGATTCTATTCGATTAATTTGTTGTGTATGATTAGCATATCCTTGTTAATAAATTCTATCTATACTTGTTATTTAGTATGGAAGGTAAGAGAAAATATCTATATCTAATTATTGTATGATCTATTTGTCGAAATATTGTATTCCAGTAAGCCAGTTCAATGGAATAATCAAGGTGGTAGTATAAGACCTGCAGGTGCAGTACATGCGATTGCACAACCGCAATATGCTTCAATTCCACCACAACAGTGGCCACCTATGGGTGTTTATGCTCCACAACCAGGTATTTCAACGGACTTTTTTTTTCAAGGTAAAATAATTATAATATGAAGTTGTGAAATATGGATTATCATAAAGGTTCAGTGGTGTTTGGAAATTTATAGAGTATAACTGTGCACTGCATATTTTTCAGATATTAATTTGAATACTGGGTAATGGTACGTTAAGTAGTATATAACATTGTACTCCAAATTGTACTTTATCCTTGCCATCATTCTAAATTGTTTTCATTCTAATTAAAATTCCAATAAATGAACCTTTATTTAATGTTAAAGGCATATATGCTCAACAACCAATGATGGGTATGTATGCACAACCGGGATATAATCCACAAATACAGCAAGCAGCTGCACCAGTGTATGGTATGACACCAGGCCAAACAGCATCTCAAACTGGACAAGTGCAGCAAGCGGCAGCACCTCCGCCCCATCGCCCATTCATGTGAATTGTGTAGTATTTTACTAGGACAATTTCAAGTTTTTTTTTGTTCAGCATGAACAAGGAATATATGTTTTTCGGAATCTTGAAAGAATTCCCTTCTCAAGTCATTATTTCTGGACATTTCATTCAGTATTGATGAAGAATTGCTTACTAGTTTTTAATCTTTATTTTTCTCAGCGCTGTCTTCCAACTTTTGATCTTTAATAACACTTCATTTTTGTTAACAACCTTGAAAATTAGCACACTAGTTCGCATTGCTACATTCTCTCTGTTTTCTTCTGTAATATATGTCTTATCATTTTTTCCATGATATTTGAAGGAAAAGAACATGATATTGCTGTCTGCTTATATATATTTCAGAAAGATAAGTTTTTCTCGTCTTATTTGCACTGAAATTTTTTGCAAGCTACTGATCTCTGATTTCATTGAGATTTTTTAAACTGAAATCGTGAAAAAACCTTGAAATTTTTGTGAGCGGAACGAACCTTTTTATGTTTTCATTTCTTATAGAAGTAAAATGTTCCTTTTTTTGTTCTTTTAAGATCGAAAGTTGACTATAATTTCGAGATTTTCATTTCTCTTGATCACCATATATATGTATATGTTTTCTTGTATCATTCCGCTTATCGTCTTTTTTTTGTTTCAAAAATTTGAAGAGACAGTAGATATTTGCTAAAACTCGTCTATACAAATTTTGGTTTTGAAAAAATTTTTGAAAAATCGAAATTGCCGTTTTCTTAGTTAGTAGTAAGTGAATGAGTGAGAGAGTACAGTTATATAGTTTTATACTTCACAATTTTTCTTATTCGAGTGCTCATAATGTCAAAATTAGCGGCTTTGTATTGATTAGTATGTTCTTTTCTATTTTTTAAATTATTTTGAAATTTAAAAAAAAGTCTTAGATTTTTGGGCTTGTCTGTCTGTTATCGTTTTATTTGTGTGTAAGAAAGAAGAAGCAAATCTCGATGTCTTTAATAAGCCATATTTTTAATATTTTTATTTATATTCACGTAGAGAAATACTTAATTGATTCTTTTGATTGAATTTCTGGCATAAAATTAGTGATATTATTATTATTATTTGCCTGAAAGTAATCTGTCAACATAACAAAAGGAAATGTAGTCTATGCAGATGCTATTAATGAAATAAAATCGTTTGTTCTTTTATAATTAACATTTGTATGCTCTTCATAAGAACGATTATTATTAATTCATCTGCTTAAATGAATTTTAAGTATTGGAGCAATGAAACATTTGTTATAAGTAAATTCAGTAATAAAGTAGTGGAAGGGTAAACAAACAGATAAGTTGTATGTTTTTGCAGGTTAGTTAATTATTTGATTTAATCATATTCATTTAGTTATCATTAGCAAATTCATTTTTAAACTGCTACAAATAAACTAATTACTAACAATTCTAGCCCAATTTCTGCAATTATTGGAAATTTCTCTTTTTTAATTCGTCGATTTAACTTTCTTTAATTCTCAGTAAATCCTAAAATCGTTCAGTTTTGATAGGTAGAGATTGAAAATTAAAGCAATTCGGAATTATTCATATCGTATGAGAATGCCTAAGCATTAGAAAGGAATTCATTCAACTTTTATAAGATTAATTCAAAGCAAATGATACTATGTAAAATGGTACCCAATGAATTTTATATTAACCATCAGTTCGATATGATGCAATTTTTCTGAAAAAACAATTTACCTTCTAATTTACCAATTAGTATTACCTTGATATTTGATAGTATTTCATAATTTGAGGTAACTTTTCAATTTCTTATTAATTTTTGGATAACTTTTTTCTTCAAAATTAGCTGTTACGAAGAAAATAATTGTTAAATTTATCAAACATTTCATAAAACTTTCTCCTTTGCTATTATCATATTTCCTTCTTACTTTATCGTTCAATAATTTCAATGTTTGTTTTAGTTTTTTAAAAAAAATATTTAATGAAAAATCTATGTTGGAAATTCTAAATTTTTCGCCTAAAAATATATTTTATATAAAATTTGTCATTTCTTCAAAATTTCGTTCATTCAATCATTCTTTTAATTAACTTATTTTAATTAGTTTCATCGAATCAAAACTATCGTAGAATGATTTTAAAAGTTTTCTAATTGATTATTTGTTGAAATATTTTGTCTTTATTATATTCGCTTTTGTATAATTATGCAAATTTTGTACATTATTACAATCAAAATAGCAATCGTTTCATCAGTCAGTTGCACTGGAAAAGTATCCTGATCCCGGATGGCCTATGTAAATCCGGAAAATGGAAACCCTCCAGCATATTTTAGAAATCTTAGAAGCATTGAAAGCAATTTTTAGAATTTCAATCATTTACTAGGTTAAGTGGCGAATTGGAACTATTTCCGATTTTATCATTAGTTGGATAAATTGCTGATTGTGAAAGAAATTCTGCTTTTATATAAATTATAAAATGTAACATATTTGTATAAATTGTACTTTGCAAACTTTTAATTTGTAAACTTTCGGGAATGGAACCAATAAGGAACTGAGATGGCATTACCGGAAGTTTGATTTATAGTTTGTGCTTCCTTCGAGAGTTCCTAATCATGACTGATTTGTTGTAGCTACCACACACTATTCAAAGCATTCATGTTAATTTCAAACATATTTTTGTATTTAATTTTTAATTTAAGTTTTGTATTTCAAATTTTACAGTTATGATGATGTGGCTACATATGTTGACATATTTTTACATCCTATTACGGAATTGTCAATCGGAAGTGCCGTTGGTAATAACAACATGGGGAACTGATGATTTTCAAGCTGCCACCGGAAAAGGTTTGATGAATCAAATTTTATTTTTAAATACATCTGATATGTTTCTATATTTTACGACTGTTGTTATCCGATAATCAGTGCAATATATATATATATATATGTTTAGTATGGTAAATAGTATACCGGATGGTTAATACATTGATTTTTTTTCCCGAAAGAATATAATCATTAATATAATATGCAAATCAAAATTTTTGCAAACTGATTTAATGATAAACTATCATTTGCAGCATTTTTGACATTAACAAAAACACACGACAGGATGGAATCATTACTGGAAGGTTTAACGGAATGTGAACAGTTGCAATGTGATGGAACAGTTGGCTTCGGTGGTTCACCGGATGAAAAAGGCGAAACTCGACTTGATGCACTTATTTATGATGGGTACATTTTCTCTCTCCTTAAAATTGCAATTTATTTTAAATTTAAAAAATTAAATTAAATGGTTAAACCAGGAATGATTATACTGGATCAAGAAGAAAAGAGAGAAATAGGAATTATTGAAACTGTCTTTTTAAACAATTTCTTTTCAGGATAAGTATAGCTGAATTAAGCCGTTCAGTTTATTATATTGTTTATCAATGATTTTGAATCTTATAGACTTTTAATTTTTAGTATTCTTCTTGTATATCTTAGGCATTCATAAATGTATATTATCCCAATTTGTTGAAATTGTCTAATAGCTATATTAATCCATGAAGGATTGATTCGTTCATTAAATTTATATGATTTATCAAATTCGGCTTCATTTTACAATGGCACAAAAATATATCAAATTTCGAATGATTTAAAATGAATTTTTTTAACCTAAAATATATTATAAATTAATAAAATATATAAATGTATAAAATATATAAAATAGCCTAAAATATATAAATTAATCTGCCACAAATATCAATTGCATGTTCTTATTCGGTTTAAGAATAACCAGAAAATAAAAAGGAATTTTCAGTTTGAATCATGAAATGGGTGCCGTTGGTTCATTACCAAATGTTAAAAATGCAGCACGTGTAGCTTATGCAGTAATGAAATATACGAAACATTCAATATTGGTCGGTGAAAATGGTAGATTTACTTTTGCTTCTTCTTCTTCTTTTTCTTAATTAATTAGTTAAATTAATTAAATAAAATAATCGGTGTATCGATTGTGGTTATGCATATTTTAAGAAAAAATATTTTTTCAACAAATGTTTGCGTTCTAATAAAAATTTTCAATTATTATTTATACTAAAAATTAAATAAAATTTTTGAAGTTTTTAAAATTCAATATGAAATTTAGACGAGTAGACAGTCGAAAAAATGCTAATTTAATTGAACATGCTAATTTAATTGTTCATATTCTTTTAGGGTGATGATAATAGTGTATGAATATTCGCCACAAAATATAATGATAATTGTAGTGTTCATAAATTGTTAAATTAAAAGTTTACTTTATTGAACCCAATTCATCTTGCCTATTTCACTAAATATTGCTATAAACTTACCTGTGTTTACTTAAATACCATTTCTATTCTTCGAATTACCTATTCATATAATTTATTATGTAAACTATGTGCGTAGTTTTTCATATAATCAACTCATTTCATGACTTATTTATTATTGCTATTAATATTTGTAGATATTTGTTGCTTCAAAGTTTAATTAAATGAATTAAACTTCGAAGCAACAAATAATAAATACTAACAGCAATAATTTGAATTTTAAAATAATGAATTGTGGTATTCTTTGGTTTAGCAGCCGATTTTGCTGTTGAAATGGGCTTCAAACGAGAATCATTGTATACTAATAGCTCACATGCTGCTCATCAAAAATGGATCAAACAGAACTGTCAGCCAAATTACAGAAAAGTTTATTTTGTCACCAATTTCTTTTAGTATTTATATTTTGTTTCTAGTTGTAGCTTAGATTTCATTTCTATATATCGATAATTTTAATTTCAGTCTGATTTTTTTACTCCTTAAATAAATTTTATCCACTTTGCAGAAATTCAAGCTTATCGCTCAGGAAAATTTGTCATTCGCTAATTTTAGAATGTATTGCCAGATCCGAACAAATCTTGTGGTCCGTATAAACCTGCAAACGATAAAGATGGATTCACATATAGCGTGAAGTCAAGTCATCCGGATTTCGAGGTTCAAGTTGTCTATGTAGTAAATAAGTGTAATCTAATGTTAGTATAGATAGCTTAGGTATTA